GCTTACTATAATTAGTAATTAATCATTCATTTATAGAGTCTCGTTAAGTGATTAATCTAAATATATCAAATTTTTGCTTGATGATGTCAGGCATGTGAAAATGTATGGTTTCTAATTTATAGAGAAGTTACCAGAATTTATTTCGCAATTTTGGACTCATCGCGAGTTTTTCTTTCATAATGTACCTTTATAATTTATGATTTCTGTAAAGTCATTTATTCATGTGGAGTCTTTTTGTCAATAGTACATACGTGAATCATCCAAACAAAAACAAACATGAAAATAGATTGTCAATAGTTCAAAATATTAGGCTGGGTCTGGTAGATTCATATCTAAAACCCCGTAAATTTTATAACCAATAGTATCATAACGATCATAACGATGGTTCGTTCAATTTACGAGGAACCCATTTTTCAAGCTTTTCCACCTGCCGATCGCAAGGTAGGTCAGTAATGATTGATTTTCCAACCAAAGGTTTTTCAGTTCAGGAATAGTTGTTAAATCTTCTTGAAATGTTTTTTTAATGGAGTAAATCATAATAAAAGGCTTTTAAACCTTTTTAAAAAATCTTTATTTTCGGTAAGAAAAAAAAACATTGCATTTCAAAAGAACTCTTTTGTTTGAAAGAAGATTAGTCCATTGTACAATATTTTATGCAAATGGTTTAAAATATGGAAGGCATATTATAATATTTTTTTTATTAATGAACAATAATTAATGCTGTGCAAAAAGCCTGTCCTGATCATGTTTAACATAAAAACCTGTGACAGTTCCCCAACTGTCATAAACAATTCATGTCATAATTATAAATTAGTAACAAACTAGAAATATACGTTTGGATATCATGAAGCGATTAGCTGTTCCTTTCTGTTCTGATGATGTTTTTCACCATTCGAACAACTTTTCGAATAGAAAGATGTAGGCGAAAATGGAAAATTAGTGTAGAAAATTTTCTGAATTTCCATTCGCTTTTCCTCTTTTATTTCGTGAATGGATGCTCGGTTATTCACCGCTCCAACAGTTTACCGATTATATAGATGTAGGAGAAAACAGAGAATTAGTGTTGACAATTTTCCGAAATTGACGGAACGTTGACAAGTTTGTTTTCTTTGCCTGCATTTTCGAGACATAAGTGTGGTTTGGAATTTTTCAAATTATAACCTAAGATTGTGAAAGAGCTCCTAATATTGTGGCATTGATAAGACTGTTATGGCATGTGGAAAGAATACCTAAGAGAATGCTGCATAAAAAGCCGGATGGCAAAAGAAGTAGAGGACGCCCTCGGATCCGATGGCTGGAGGATGCGGAGGACGATTTGAGGGAAGTAGCACAGGACAATGAAGATTGTTCGATTGACATTTCTTAAATAATTTTCTCGACTATACACATTTAAGATATTTACAATATTAGTTGAATGATTACTCCTATTGGTAATGTTTTATAGAAACATTGAAATAAATTCGATTAAATCCCAACAAATCACCTTACCCTTCGTCGTAAACATATGACTTTCTATCCTACAGTGTCCTTTTATAACACCTGACTTATTCCTGTTGAACAAATTCGATACTTAGGACTCCACCTGGTCAACTCACTTGGAATCCTCATACCAGACTGAAACGACTAGAAACTGCTTGACGTTTTCGACTACTACTGGGCTTACTAGACAAATGCACTAAACTTCCAATTAATTACAAAAGACTCATATATATTACTATAATAAAGCCTATCAGGATTTACGGTATCGTGCTTTGGGGCTCTACTACACCATCAAATTCCTCTTGTATCCAATCCTTACAATCCAAAATCATTTGTAAAATCCTCAATGCTCCTTACTTTGTTACAAATACAATCATCCATAACGACCTTGATGTAACATATGTTTTCCGATTTAAGTCAATCCAGATACCTGTCCTTCCATAATAAACTTCTAAACCATCCGAACCCTCTTGTGTCTAACCTTGCTTCCTCTTCTATTCTATCCTGATAACCCTCCGAGGCGTCTGAAAAGGAGATGGCCTCGGGACCTTCTAATATAGAACTATAATTGTAGTGCTACCAATTGTAGTTTCCCTTCATGTTGTACATGTCATGTAATACAGTTGTGAATTTTAGTAAATATATTTTTTTTTAAAAATCAGGTTGACTTGAAGTAAGCTTATTACAAATGAAAATGTAATAACGTGTCAAGAATTACAGTCATTTTTTAAATCCAAATGACAAAAGGGTTGTAGTGGTACAGGCTCAACCAAGTTTTTCCTCAATCGATAGGAGTTTCCCTAACCAAGTAAAATTATTCCACATTTTGTTTGTGGTAAAACTTATCGATTGACCAAAAACATGACTTGTTCACCCAAGTCTCCTCAGCCCAGAGGCGATCCTCAGCTGATTTCAGACTTAGGGAAATCTACACTACGAGAAAATTGAGAGAGATCTTTATATATTTTTCTTGGATAAGCATCTTATTTCTTATATCGTTTTGAGGAGGAACAGGGTATGAAAAAAAACAAAAACACGAAAATAAGCAATACAACACTTTTTTATGACATCAACCATATTTCTGGCTTACCGTTCTAGGGGTGGGGAGAGGAGTAATACAGAAAGTTGCCCCGAAGAAATAAAACAGTTATAACACAAGCGGTGCAATATCGTAAGCATTTGCCGCTCGAGCGTACTCGTAACTTTTGAACGATGATCCTTTATCGGCATTATTTTAATACGAAAACTTTTCCCTCGGGAAGAACTCTTATAGCGCCAAGTAGGGCGAGCGAACTTTGCTTTACGGAACTGATGTCGAAGTCATACGACTTGATATTGGAGTGTCTGGATGTGATAGTCGGTAGGAAGGCACCATTCAGTGTATTACGGTGGTTAGATAAATATAAAACTCGACACGAATATATAATATTTATTATTCATCGATAATCTATATATATATATATATATAAATGAATGTATGTCTGTCTGTTCGTCTGTTTGTCCTTAGTGCATTACTAAACCATTCAACCGATCGCCATGAAACTTGTTCCGTACACTCCTGGGAAGGTTTCCGGGATAGTACTTCTGTCTTACGATAATTTTATATATGTAAAAAAAAATAAATATGTAAATGTTTTTCTGTTCAAAGCCGCAAAAAATGTGTCGCTGTAAACTGTAGCGCCAAAACGGCTTTACTGATTTTAACGAAACTTGGCTAAAGTCTTTCCCTTGAAACCCTTTTAATTTATGTGTATAACATACTTTCCCGAAAAGAAGCTGAAAAATGTTACGATAAATTCAATATTTTATTTGACGATAACTAAAAAAGTACATAATTTTTTACTGATAACACCCATATTTATATGAACGATTTCTGAATTGCCTACAAAATAAAAAACCATCGAAATCGGACGGTTCGTTGCAGAGTTATTGAGTTTTAAATATTTACTGCTTTCTCTTCAGAAAAGGCCGTTTCCTTTTGCTTCCTCACTACCGAACGTCAGCAAACATTTTTTTTTTATTATTTATTAATCGAATATTTTATAATTACTACAATAATTGAAATTATCATTTGAAGAAGTTATATGATTCTCCTTATGTAGATCAATACTATTATACGTTGTTTTTTTTTATTAATTTTTTTTATTTAGTTTTATAAGTTCAACTGAGGCTGTTTCTGATGATTATAAATGACGGCGTATTGATTCAGATGATTATGAATGTTCAATTTGAATCATGAGAAAAAAATCATTAGAATTAGTTTAAATTGAAGCCATTTACAGACAAATTGGTTTCCCAACTTTTTAAAAATGACAGATGTCCTTTGCTACTAATCTACTAATATGTGCTTTCTATTTTCTTTCTTTTTCATTTTGCCAGGCTAAGCCACAGCAGTGCGTGGCCGGGTAAAGCTAGTACTTTATAAAAACGATTGAAAATACTGTACTCGATTTTTTTTCCTAATCATCAAAACTGAGAATTAGACATAAATACATACCTGTGCCTACTTAAACCTATTAGGACATCTCACAGTTACTTAATTTTTTTTTACATTATATTTGCCACTGCATTGTAACGAATTAAGTCGATATGTGTACTTGTCCGTTAGCTGGGCGGGACGGACTGCTATCTGCCAATGTTTATAACATGAACACTGATAATTCTGATAAGGCACTGATAAACCTTCTCGTAATAATAATAATAATAATAATATTTACATATAAAAGAACATATGTACAAAAAACAGTTAAACAACATATGCACATAAAAAAAATGAAAATGAAATAATAAAACTAATAATACTCATTTGATGACCTTCTTCACACAATTTCACGTTTGCGATTATTCCAACGTTTTGAAAATATTCAATAGCCTGTTCTTCTGAAGACGATAATTTCCAGAATAAAACAAGATCCATAATTTGATGAAAATAACACAAACGGGCCAAAAATAAAGTATTAAATAAGTGAATAACTGAAAAATAAACAATGTAATAACTGAGGGGTTTGACGAGATAAGATGAGGGAGGTTATGTGACGTAACGTTAAATAACGAGGGAGGTTTCGTCCCGCCCGGATAATGGACAAGTACCTAAATATGCAGTTTATTCTCGTCTTATTTTATTCTTGATCCTTGTTTACATTTTCAGCAGGAGATTTTTAGACCATTGCCTTTTTCGTCGTCGTTGAAGCTCACTAGATAACAGGCAAGGAAGAACGAGTGGGTTTGGATGATTGAGAGTAGAAGAATGAAATGTTGTATACTTGTTGTGAATATAGGATTTTACTTTTGGTGAGTTAATGTATTTATGTAGAACAGGATGCATTTACGATTTTTTTAAGTAGTTTGAATTGTGTGGTTTGAATTAAACGCATTGGCTATCGGACAATAGTAGCTAAAGGTCGGGACTTCATTAAAAACGTGAAGACCCGCATAAACGCTTTACCAACGAGAGTTACAACGTCCCGAAGAAGAACAGACCAGACGCCGAGGAGTATACCCTACCAACAAGACAGCAAGTCATGTCGTCCAAACATGCTGCCCAAGGCGGAAGGATGAAACGACACGATGCTGTCGTAAATTTGTTTGAGGAAGTCCTCTGTAAGAAAGGTTACAAAATAGAAAAAGAAAAAACGTACGTACGTGGCAAAAGGAAGTGGAAACCTGATCTCGTTTGTTCTGGGATTGGAAGACGTTCGTAATAGAGGCCCAGTTCGTTGGGGTTAAACCGAGTGCCTCTTACTGGCACAGAGAAAATTAATAAAAACGTAACAGCATATTAATTTTTTCATAAAAACGTATTCAAGTAAATGGTTTATTAAAAATTTAATTTAAAAACATTTATTAATGCAGTTTGAAAATATAATTTAAGAAAATAACATCCATATATATATATATATATATATATATATATATATATATATATGGATGATTCTCATTTTAATGGCAAGTTTTAGTCCATTACAACTTTTATGTGATTAGTTAAGTCTAACTTTTTTTTTCCCCCTGCTATAAGGTGAAGAAGTACTTCTTCATAATGAAATATTAAAATATTAAAGAATAGTGTGATTTTATAATTACTTAAGCTACTAAAATGTCATTACCACGTATTTCCCCACTTTCAGTTTTCTAGTAAACATTTTTTTTTTTCTTTCGAAACCTATGTATAATGACAGTGAAATGTATTTCCACTCCTAAAGAATAGTTAAGACATTTTTTTAAACTTTTGTTTAAAGTGAAGTCTATTTTTATATTTTCAAATATTGCACCATCATTTTGATGTAATTCCAAGCTAAAAACATAATATTTAAGCGTCGAAAAGAGTTAACAATGAGGGAATTTCTTAGAAGTAGCCAAGGAGTTAATGGACAGTCATCAGCGGATAGACCGACTAGGGAGCCCCCCTTTACGCATCCGTTTCTTATACGTTGAGCAAGTACAATTATTGTTGTCATTACCACCCCATATATTATCTCGCAACCTGTTCAAATTGTTTCATTTATCATAATTCAAGTTTGACTACCGTTTGTAGGAAGTCTGTTGGAAAAGAAAAAAATTATAATACTGGTTATACAGTGGTTTTGGTCGAATAAAATACATGAAAACTTCATTCCCAATACCTAATTATTTACCTTTACTAACTTTAATTACTGAGCAAAAGCACTTTTGATCTTGGCCATTTGCTCAGATAAAGCTGAGCGGCAATAGAAGGTGTAGGTATTTAGAAAATTGTATTTAAATTCAATCAAAATTATTAAAATTTTATCATGAAAATTGTCCATAATCTGAGACTCTCCCAAATATATATTTATATATATATATATATATATATATATATATATATATATATATATATACACAAACTTTACCTTGATACATAAGGAATTCCATTTTGTTGAATTGACCATGGTCTGTGAGAATATACTTTTTTTTTCCTGAGGTCTACAATCGCCTCTTGAAACATTTCTCATTATTTACGAGACAACATGACAGCGAGAGAATACAAGTTAGCTTTAAAAGCACCTCTTGTAATATCGTTTAACAATGACGAATTCCGCTTCTTGTAAGTGGATTTTGTCTTATTTGTTATGCTGTAATTGGTGATTACCGGAATTGAATATTTTTTTTTTAATAATCGATGCCTTTTAACAAATGACTATACAATTAAAAAAATAAAAACTTAGATCATCTAATTTTCTGGTTGGAATTAGACTATGGTTTATAGCAACATTTTAATTGGGATGGTATAATATATTTTTAAATATTTCTTTCTAGAGAATTTTTGATATAGAAATAGTAACATTAAAGATACCTAATTTCAATAGCTACTAGAACTATGTGTGATTAATTTATTATTATTATTAATTTATAGAATATAAATAGGAAGTGTTGCCAATGACCCTGCAGGGTAGAGGCAACAATAAAAAACAAATAAATAAATAAATAATTTATACCATATATACAGGAAAAATAAATAAATAATTTCTAAGCACGAAAAAAATGAGCTTAAAGTGAAAAATGAAATAAATTATAACTCATTAAAAAAACAAAAAAAAAAAACAATATTTTTTCTCTTTCTCGTCCTTTAGGCTATACAGGGTTTTTCTTGGTACAGGGGGAGAGGGCGGAGGAATGATACAAGCAAAAAGGAAAACAAAATATATAATACAATAAGGTTAATAATGTTTATAGTATAAAGATAGACTCGATTTGAATGTAATTTTGCCCTCAAAATAAATAAAGATTACATAAATAAATACATTATAAATAAGGGAATAACAAACTTTTAAGCATAGTTGAGTCAACTTAAGAGGAAACTTTTTTACGGAATACCTTATCCACTGTAGCTTGTGGAGATAAATACTGTATTCATAGATCTCTGGGGAAAAAATCCTTTTGATATAAATAATAACAACAGTTAAGTTTAATATTCGTATTGGAAAAAAATAGTTTAAAATAAAACCAAGTACAGAATATCCTACGGAATATTATTTCTTCTTTTATACTAAAATAGTCACCTCTCACAATATTAAAACGGACCCTTTTCAGAATATGAAAAAGTTATTGTAATTTTTTTTTTAATATTATACTAAAAATTGAAAAGCGTTAACATAAAAAAAGTCTTCACCTCTGTTACTTCTCTTTTACAAAAAATAAAATAAATATGCCAAAGACCACCAGAAATAGTGGGGTGGTTTTTAACGAACACTCCATCATCTCTACAAATATTAGCCTTTCGTGAGCGAAGGTTTTTTTTATTTTTATTTTATTTTTGTTTTAAGTGCTGTCGATGTTAAAATGTTTATTTTAAATGGGAGATTATATTTAAGAGATTTTTTAACTGATGTTTTCTAATTGTAAAAAGAAAAAACAATATTTAAAATTTTAATTATATACTGATTATATAGGATGCAATCCAGATGTCAAATATCGGATTTTCAAATAATCAGTTATCAATAAACATGATTTAATGTAAAAAAAATTATAATGTGATGGAAATTCTGAGAAAAAGTAATTAAGGGTTTCGTGACGCATAGAAATATTTTTTCTATGAAAATTATCAAAATTTTCAGAAATTTGAGTTAAAAAAATTAATAAGGAAGAGAAACTTCATTTGCGATTAATTCAACAAGTATACATGTTTTTCTACAAAAAAAAAATCTTCTAAATCTGACCATTATTAACTGAGATACAGACTATTGTAATTCGTAAACATTTTTGTTTAAAATATTAAAGAAGTTTTATTATAATTTTTTTTCTTGGTATATTAAAATTACCGTAAAAATAAAAAAATATTTCTTCAACATATGGTATGTTCAATTATTTATTTTCTTATTATTTTTTTTCATATTTCATTTCATATTATTTGTTCATTGATAAATTCTTTGCGAATCATCGCACGGTCCAACTAGTTATTGTTTGTTGTTTGTGGTTAGTTAGTTGCTATTATATATCATTTAAACATAATTAAAATAAAAATATTTTCATGCAAAATGTTTAATATTTACTAATATAAATCCATAATACATAATATTTATTATTATTATTTTTTTTTATTATTATTGTTTCGTGGTAAAGGTTTCGTATAATGCTCATAATTTTTCTAAACCATCTACTTTTACCCACCATTAATAAAATAAGTAGATATTATATGCAGTCGTAAAAGAAAATATAAAGTGTCAACAAATATAATTTTAACCGATTAAAAAGTGATAAAACCATTTGATAATTCGATGTTTTAAATGAATATGTTATACATTCTATAAGTTTTAATTTCATTTCCTTATATACGAAAATGCCTAAGATTATTCCTTATCATACATAAAGTAGGATGGTAAGTAAGAGCTGTGTGATGTGCTCACCAAACCAAATTTTTAGACTTGGGCCAGTTGCAGAGTCAAGGATAAATTTAAACTTTGGTTCGGGGAGTACCTGTAGAGGATTTTATAACCGTCATGAAAAAGAAAATGGGAACAGATATGGTCGAATGTAACCGAAAATAAATTGAGGGAGGTTAAGGGTGACGTTTCCTCTTCGGCATCGTCAAATAGGAATAACCGGAGAGAGGAAATAATTCTTAAGCGCCGGCGTATAGGTCATACACGCCTTACTCATGGATACCTGATGGCCCGTGATTCTTCGCCAACATGCCGAACCTGTGGGACTCCTCTGACAGTGAAACACATTTTAACAGAATGCACAGCTTACGAAACATTTATACTATCTTGTGACGACAAACGATCAACACTTCATTTTACAAGACAATACGAATAAAATTGATAAATTATTTTCTTTTCTAAAATGTTCGAAACTTGAAAATAGAATCTAATTCTCAATAAATATAAGGAAATAATGACCATAGTGGTTGAAGCATTAAAAAAAAAAAAAAAAAAAAAAAAAACTAGGCTTAACCTAACCTTTTCCAAAATTTAACTCTTATTTACCTTTAGCTTCCTGTATACCTGTATTATTCATATTCTTGAAAAAAATCTAAACCGAGACTAATTTATTCTGAAACTTACGCATATATTAAGGAAGTTTAGTCTTAAACTAACTACAGACTTAAAAGGTGTAAATCTTTAGTCAATAGTAATTTTTAGCTAATTGATTAGTTTTTGTTCAGGCTATTTAACGTACTAATAACTCTCGCTTACTCTAAATGTTTGTAAAAAAAATAATAAATAAAACCAAAGAATTTTTTTCTATTTTCCAATAGAAACACTACCGCTTTATTTGCACAGTGCCAAATCAATTTTTGCTAAAAAAAAAAAAAAAAAAATTGCTATTATTTTTTCTTTATATTTTTTTTTTCAGTTGTTTTATACCTAATCACTAACTTCGTGCATCGAGCACACTAAAAGCTTTGTACCTGCAGGCAAGCGATGAAATAATGCAACGACTAAAAGCACGAGGTAATTGCTTGAACAATTTTAAGGCTGGGAGAACTTCATAATCAAGTTTGGACGCGCAACATTTTCCTTCAAGAAAGGTGAACTTCATGCAGGATGGGTCTTTTGTTGGGCAGAATATTATTTAAGATTTTATAACCATTTTCATGTGGTTTTATATGTATCCATTTATCAAAAAAATATGAATATAAATTAATCTTATATTACTTCGAAGTATTCTGGAAAAATTCAAAATAAATGTCTAGGTTACTTAATAATTTTAATAATTAATTTATTAAATAACTTTTCA